GAGAGAGAGAGAGAGAGAGAGAGAGAGAGAGAGAGAGAGAGAGAGAGCCCGAGTCAATGAATGGACCAAGAAGGGTAGTTGCTCGAAAAGGTGCAGTGCCCACTAAAGAATAGAGTTCAATTAACAATGTGCATTTATGTTGCCAGAGGAGGAATGTGGTTTTTACCATATAAAAACTCTTTGCAAAATATTGCTCCTAAGCCTCCTAGTGTACAAAACTATAACCATCACAAAGAATCTGATTAAACGTTTTAAGAATCCTCAATCTTTGCATTATCCTAGTTCACCCAGCCAATTCGGCATGTGGTTTATCCGCTTAGTCACAAGTCCAGATCTACTCAAAATTTTAATTTTCCCACAATATTGTCATCTTGGTTTTTCCCGCAATATTGTATTCTTGGTTTTCCCCGCAACCCCTACTCGTCTTATGTGGAGCTTGTGAACACAATTCAGAATCAGATACTACAAAGTCGGGGCCTCGGGAGCGGATTTCAGGCACCAAAAACTACGTTACGTTCTGCACAGAATATGGACTCTTTCTCATCCGTACCTGCTCGGTGGCTGAATGCTACACACATATTTCTAACTATTCATACAAAAATTGAAGTGCACGTCCGGACCGACACACACATAGTAACCTTGGGCGCGTTGACCCCCTTCCTTTCCCTGCCCCCTTAAAGTATGCAAAATAGTAAAATACTAAAAATAGTAATCGTTGTGGAGAGGCAAATTTTATTTTCTTGCTTCTTTTTTCTGTGTCTGCGAAAGTATATGGATAGATAGTTTTTATAGTAGATCTAACACACATGTCTTAAGGCGCTGACAAGAAGATCCTGGTACAAGGGAAGTCTAGAAGGGGCTCGTGTGGCTCTTTTCCATTTGGGCCTCTGTTGATATGAAATTTTGGCGATCTCTAGCAAACGTCTGCTGTTCATTAGTTTTTATAGTAGATCTATGACACATGTCTCAAGCCACTGACGAGAAGATCCTTGTACAAGGGAAGTCTAGGGGTTCGTGGGGTTCTTTTCGACCCGTTATTTATTCTGGATTGGACGTTCCATTTGGGCCTCTGTTGTGATCTCTAGCAAACGTCTCATGTTCGTTCGCTCATTTTGTCACGAGGATATAAGTTAACAAGATTATACATCGAATCAATGATGCTAGTAAATCTGTGTTTGCCACATGGCTGGTGCCCCACTGCCCGTTCCTTAGGGTTATGACGGTTGATGGCCACAGTGAGGGCCAATTGGTATGGTGGTAGGTGAGCTGTGTCACCGCCAGAGGACAGCGAATATGATCACAAGTTTTACTTGCTCTCTTGAGGATACAGTTAGGAAGACAATAATTAGAAATGGAGTGAGGAAAGGGGATGTGTTTGAGTAGGATATCGTGGGTATGTGTTGAACCCAGTTTTGTTTGCTCTGTAGGATCTAGTTGGGAAGACATGAATTGGAAAATAGAGCAGGTGTTCACTGACAGGGGGGGAGGAGTTGCACGATTTATTCCAGATCGTTAACAAGCAAAGGTTAGTGACTTTTGTTTGCTCTGAGGATATCGTGGGGAATCTTGTGTTTGATCCAGCTGTGTTTGCTCTGTAGGACATGGTGGGGAAGAAGACATGAATAGGAAAATAGACAAGTTCTTCACTGACAGGGTGGGGAGAGGTACACAAGTTATTCCGGATCATTGACAATTTCATGAATTGTCATCGCAATTGCATGGATGAACATCAAAGCAAAACGTACGACGTCTTGATTTTAAATTACGTTCAAGGTATTGGCTTAAAAAATAATAATAATAATAATAAAAAATCGACAAAAAAAAATCCACAAAAGTTATATGTGAGTATGGCCTCATTGCCCTAAACATGTGATGCAAGTTTCAAGATTCAGGTTCAAGACTGAGTTCATATTTTTGGACTTCAAGCAGGGTGTCGGCAACAGGAAGGTATGACACATGTATTACCTCAAGAAGGTAGGTGACCTATGCTGCCAGGACAACCATTGACTGCCGCTGCAAGCAATCACCACGGGTCTGGTCCTTGGGCTCTACAACACCCTGGCCTTTTTATGAAAAGAAAAGAAAAAAAAGAAAAAAAAAAAGAGAAGGTAAGTGCAAGACGCTCTGGCAGCTCACTGAGAACTTCAAATAAATCATATTTAGATCAGAGACGTAGAACACACTCTGGGTGGGCTTGGAGTGGAACCAATCAGTTTAAACTTTACAGACATGTAAATTACATTTTGTTACTTTCGCGATGAGTCCTAATCAGAATCAGATACAGTACAATGCCAGGGGATCCATCCACAGCCACATGGAATCGAACCGGTGATCTCAGCCGTAACAGTAGGATTGTGGTGTGGTGTTCAAAACTGAAGTCATCATACCCGTTCTGCCATTCACCCCACTGCTGCATGGGTGCAGTACTCACACTCACTCAACACACTGGACACCCATGAGACCTTCCATAGGCACGACCACACTATCTGCATGACCTATCTGTGTGGCCACCACAATCCAGGTGTAATCTCCTGGCTGGCGAATGCGCTGGAGTAATGATCAGATCTCCGTCTTCCCCTGAATGAAAGGCATGCTTATCATGACTCGACCAGACTGAAACGATCGCTTGTATACATTCATGACGAGGGTGCATTGTATTCAAGGGAAGAAGGTAGGCGGGTACCTTCCGTAGGCAAGGCCGCACTTTCTGCATGCATCCTCGGCAGAGGTACACCTTTCGTCGGCACAGCCAGACTCTCTGCACGAGTCCTACACAGAGATACCTTGCATAAGCACAGCCACACTATCTGCATGAGTCCTAGGCAGAGGTAACAACTGGTGCAAATGGCGGGAAAGCTGCAAAAGGATATATTCCAACTTTGGCAAAAGCGTGAAGCATCTGACTGTCTGACACTGTCTTCATAGGATAGGATTATTAGGATGCAGCAATCGAAGCCCTGGGCTTCGTTTCCCTGTAGCAGTATGGCCCCCTATCCCCTCTATGCCTCTCCACAAGCCATAGACTTGATTTCCAGTCAAGTAAGAAAGAAAATCTTCCCAGTTTTGAATTTTTCATGTAACATTGGTATCACCCCATCTTGAGAATAATGCACTTGAAGGGAGTGCAATAACCTGGGTTCAAATCCTGCAGAGAACCATGCATCCAAAATCTGAGTCAAGGCTCGGCATAGGAAATAGGACCGTAATTCCACATGTATCTGGACCAGGAGGCCTTTCCCTATAAATTCAAATTGTTAGATCTGTCCAAATGAATCTGGGTCATAATCCAGAAATAGGACTGTAGGGTCCCAGAGTCCTTCGGAATGGCCCTCGATCCAACAGAATATGGTCTACTCCATGTCTCAGTCAAAGACCTTCTGTATGCATACCCTTACAGAGTCAAGGGATGGAGTAGAACCAGAGGTGCAAAGTCTAAGTGTGGTAGCTTTTGACCTAGCAGAGTTCAGGGGTCAACGCTTCGTCCTACAGACTCCCATAACTCTCTAGAACAGGTATGAAATCTGCAAAGACATGGCCCAGGGTCGTAACCTTTGGTCAAGACAAAGTTCTAGGGTCCAAAAGTCCCTTCCTTGACTCTGAAGAGGGATCAGAATGTCCCTTGGTGAACAGGTACTGGGTCTAGGTCAAAATGAGGCACCTCATGCCTCCAGAGTAGGCTCTAGGAAAGTAAACAGTCAGGCGCTACTCGGGCACAGAAATCAAAGAGCCGAAAATTTCCCAGGAGACAGCCGCAGCGACAGATCTCACAGAGAACAAAAGGCTCAGTGGACTTCCCAGAAGTTTCCAAGGCCCAAGGCACACTCTGGCTGCGAGCAAATATGAGCCACACAGATTGGGAAATCTCAGCCCTTCGAGGAGGCAAACTGGATGCAGGCCAGACCGAGTAAACACTAAAAAAGAGTGGGCTGCAAGTGATTCAGTGCCTCCCAGCTCGTGTATTCATTCTGCCTCACACTGTGACAGTGCATGTGCTACAGTGCATGCGCTACAGTGCATGCGCTACAGTGTATGGCTACAGGGCACATGGTACAGTGCGCAGATGCAGTGCATGCGCTACAGTGCACAGTTAAAGTGATGTGGTACTGTGTGCTGCTACAGTGATTACGAGAGAAGGCACACAGAGAGAGTGAGAGGCTGCCACAGCTAGAGTGACAGAGATGGGAGGGTGGTAGCCATAACCTGTGGAAGGTGCTGATGCACCATGACTACAAGAGAGAGAAGAGGGGAGATATGAGGTAGAGTCCAAGGTTTGGGGGGAAGAGGCAGCTTACCTAGCTGTTGCAGAGAAGACCAGTGGTTGCATGTGCTCCACATTCGTCATCCAAGACTTAAAGGTGGTGTTGCGGAATACAGCTTGTCTAGCACCATAAAGAGGACGGTCGGGGTGGAGATAGGAAGGAGGAGATAACCTGGGGAAGACGACTCTAAGAGGAGGGAGGGCATCATTCATCATCCAGTACTCCATCCTGTTGGTGCTTGTGCTATACAGAGTGTGGCACTTGCACTAGTGAGGTCAGGGGATGAGAGGGAGGCAATGCTGCCGCAGAAGATCGACATTGTCATTTCGAGTTCCAGCCTCACTGTGCTAGCCTGGGATAGCCAGCGCTGACGGGAGGTTGACCTGGCAAGTGACATTGTGTCCAGACTGGTGGTGGAGACTAGAGACACAAGCCATTGGGTGCATCGAGGTGGTGGGAAGGATTCCCATAGAAGAAGAGGGAGAAACTGTCTGACAATGGTATTCATTCAATTTCATTGTTTACACTCTTAAGATAACTCCATGCTTTTGATCTTCTTCTTCACATAGTCTTGTCTTTTTACGCTGTCTCAATTTGCTTGTTATCATTTAGTTGAGCAGTGTGTTCTCATGTGAGATTTTGATTGTGACATTCTGCAGTAGGGTTCATGACAGGAGCCATAGCTAGGAAGGGTGCCCGCGCTCCATAGCTGTAGTGTAGAGGTAGGACGAGGAAGAATGTGCTCAGGACTCGTGAGGAGGGAGAGAGAGAGTGAGGTGAGCTTACCTTGACTTACCTGTTGGCGCTGGTGATACCGGAGCTGCGGTTCACATAAGGAGGCTGAAGGAAGCCAGGCGCCAACCTCCACAGCCAAGCTTTGATGCTGGAGCTCGGGGGCACCCATGTGGTACTTGCAGAGAGACATCATTATTATCATCAGGGAGGGATGCTGAAGTGGTCGAGAAGGTCCTGGAGGTGAAGGGGGAACTGAAGAGCGGTTGCGATTGTATTGCGAAGATCCTCATGGCAACAACAAGACACTGGCCTACCTTTTGTGCCTGTGCCTCTGCCTCCCACATGGTTCCGGACTCTTCCTGCCAGGCCCTGCTGCAGCAAACAGAAATTCAGTCTGTTGTGTGCCTCCCTGGAACTGACCTGCATGGGACCGGGGCTGGACACGTGGTGATTACTAACTACTAGTACCCTCCACTGTTCCTACCGGCAGTGCGTAATCCTTTCAGGATTATTGATTATCGATCGAACTATCCTCTTTCTCTCTACTGCTTCTCTACCTTTGCCTCTCTTCTGGTTACTCACTTCTTATTGTGGGTCATCATTGAGTGCTTCATGACTTATTCTGGATTGCGATTGGTTCCGTTTTGAGTGCATTGAGACTACTTGCATGTTCTTGTTGTGGTCATACACTCAGCCACATGGGTCCACTATCCTCCTGCTTCCTCTCTCTCTCTTTTTTTTTCTTTTTTTCTTTTTCTTTTTACAAACACTCAAGGCTCCTTCTACTCTGCGGGGTGTCGGTCCGGTTGCTTATCACCGGCCAGCATGAGTACAGGAAAAGGAAAAAGGGTACAGCAAAAGGCTCAGCCTTGCCCTTGCGGTACTAGTCGCCTATCCAAGGGGGGGACTACTGCGGGCCGTCCCACCCCCCAAACCATGGCCTCCCCTGGGTCTCTTCTGCTGGCCAGGAGGCTTACTGGCAGCACCCAGTCACACAGCAGAAGGGCCCCAGGGGCGCGGGGGGGTCCTTCCCAGCAGTCTCTCAGGCCGCATGTCTCTAGTCCTCCTCATCCTTACAAACTCAAAACAGTGTCTGATACTATTGATATCCCCTGAACTCCATACCCATTCTGTCCCCCTAAATTTCTTCTCCCTATCGACCCTTCCTTGTCACCAACGCATGCAAGGCAAAATGAATGAGCCCCTGGGGCAGGTCACTCTTTTGTAGAGTTGACCGGTCTTGACCTGCCTGAGTTTGCATCTTTCTACGGCGGAGGTTTCTCGATATGAACGTCCCAGATTGGCTGTTGGCCAATAGCCACCTGGACCCTGGCTGAAGAGCTGCAGAAACTATCCTTCGAAGGTCATTTTGGCTGGCATAAAGTGGATGGTGAGGCGGGATGTTAAAGCACCAGTACACCACACATAGGCCCGCGGGCGTCAGCATGAAACCCGCATCACTTCGGTGGCCGCCAATTTTTATTTTTTTTAATGGTGCCCCTGGCGGTGTGGCACCTCCGAGTTTTGCTTGTGGCGACAAAAGTTTTCTGCAAGGCTGGGGCCCCGTGTACTAGCGGTTTAACGGTCAGGGAGTGGCTGTGCTAATTGCGCGTAGCACCCTTGAGCAAGCCAGAACCAGAGAAGGCAGATCTCTCAGTCAGATTTGTCTCTGGTTGTGTGTCCATGTACTGTTTCGGTTGTCTTCGTTTGTCTTCGAAAACCCGGTGACGAGGTACGCCCGCCCACGTTGTTGGTACACAGGGTCTGAAGTTGGGAAATGCGCAGAACGCAAAGGCGCGGATGGCAGGTATCAGCACCCGCGAGGGTGGCATATTGCGCCAAGTATTATAACTGCAGTGAACCTAGACTCGATAATGGAAATGGGCCGAGATTTTCATATGTGGAACGCGCAGCGTGTGGATGCGCAGATGGCAGGTACCGCCACCTGCACGGGTGGCATACCGCGCCAAGTACTAATTTGTAAAAAGTAACAAGAATGTACCTAGACTACGTATGGGAAATGGGCCGCGAATCTCAGGTTAAAAAAAAACGGTCCATTGGATCGGGCTCCTTGGGACTGGCTGTTGGACTGCACCTAGCCCAGCCTTGAGACTGGGTTCAGATATACCTTTTGATATTGGGTTGAGCATCTCGCGTGATTTTCTGCCGAGATGGTAGGTTGAGAAGGTAGTCCAGTGCCTTCTGAAATAGTATATAAGACTTATAAGTATGCAGGGAAAGTGCAAATTCCTGAGTCTCAGTGGCGTATGAGTAGAAGGGTCGAGATCCCTGATGTCTCGTACCCGGAAGATGTCGGGAAGGACGTGATAGCACCATGATATTAAAACTCATGTCATCTTCTTCTTGTTATTATCCATGATTATGTGTATTTATCTCCGCCTGGACCCAATAGACCCTGGAAACTTCTGGATCAGTTCACACAGCCTTTGTTTGTGAATCAGATCTTGTGCCCGTGGTTGACTCCTGATAAATCTCTGACTCTTGCTTGACCTACTCTTCCCGAGTTTGGCATGACTCCTGATTTTCTAGAGCCAACTACCTCGCATGGGGCAGAGGCTACCGCTTTTGACCCTGCCTGTGGCCCCAAGGACTTTCTCAGACCCCTCTACAGGCAGGAGACGCGACTTTTATGACCCCTGAATCTAGGCTTAGAAAAGTTATGACCCTGAACTATGTCAGTGATTTTTCAACCGAGTTCTTTGCAATGGGATCAGATAAATGTAAATGTAATAATGCTATGGGTTTCCCAACCCCCTCTTTTGTTGGGTGGGTGGGGGGGGGGGGGGGGGGGGGGGGGAGTAGGGGAGGAATGGAGAGCAGGAGGGAACTCACAGCAATGAGGAGGCCATACTCCACACTGATGAATATGACACCAAAGAAGGCACCCAAGAGTGCCACAAAGTCCAGCTTGTCCGTCTGCCAGATGTGCTTCAGCGCGTGAATATCGACCTGCGACATGGCAAAGACAGGTGGCATGCAGAGACGGGTGGCAATCAAGGACAGGTGGCAGTCAAAGACAGGTGGCCGGCAAAAATGAGACGTTGTAGAAGTCCACAACGAGACGGACACGACTTATTCAACGCCATTGAAGATACTTGTAGTGAAGAACTCATTGCGAAGACTCAAGCTCGTCGTGTAATCATATCATTTATACATGATTCTCCAATCATTTGCGTACGTGAAAGCAAACTAATACTACACAATTGTTATGACCCTGGCCAATTTCGAGATACACATCCACTGAGAAGTACAATGCTATCCAATTGCAGAAAGAAATGAATGAACTTGAGAGGAGAGAGAGGAGTAGAAGAAGAAGAAGAAATGAGAAAGAAGAAGAAAAAGATGTACACCAGCAAAGATGATGACAGGGCTCTTCTTCTTCGCCCAACAATCTCCTCCTCCTTATCTCCCCCTTCTCTTATTCAAACAAGAAATAATAATACAATGTTGAATGACTGGTCCAGAATCATGTCCGAGTCCCTTTTCTACTGCAGGTATCACTCAAGGTCCACCATAGCCATGGCCGCCTCCCCCACTCTTCACATACATAGGCCGAGGCTATGGCGGACTACTAGGCCTTGCTCCGATGTCCAAAGGACAACGCAGAGCAGCTATGGCTGCTACAGCTCAGGCCACCATGCCCAGCCCTGCCTTGAAGCTTCTTGGTGTAGCTCCCCCGGCTGGGGACTCCTTGCAGCAGCGCCCACCAAGGTGATGAAGATGGCTGCCACCATAGCCAGGTAAGTACCCCTGGCGCTCCTCCCCCTTCCTCCTCCCTTCCTCCTTCTTCCTCCCTCGTGTCCTTCTTCCTCCCCAGCAGCGCAGCTCCAACCCAGCGCTGCTCCCTCCAGCGCTCCACCAGTGTGTCGCCAAACTTGAACACCGAAAAAGAGGCCGGGTCTTCCGCCCGGCCGGAAGATATAGAGGCCTGCTTTGCCTCTTGGGCGGTGACTTCCAGGCCGCTGGCCTTCCCAAGCAACCGGTACCTCTTCCTCCTTTTGGAGGGAATATCATTGCAGACTCTGATATTGCCCCTACAGGCCCTAGACTCAGACTGGACCCGCTAGACCTAGCCTACACTACCGGCCTCTAAAAATGCCACTTTTGTCTTCTTCTACTCGGCCTCCGGTACCTGCATATTTACCCCCCTGCCGGGTGCGGTACCGGCCTACCCGCTACTTGAGTGCTTTTTCCCCTGCTGCAACCCTTCGAAGCCACGGCCACAGGTAAGTACCGGCCCTGAGGGCCCAACGAACGAACAAGTGCCTTGGCGGACCACACACACACACTCATACCAACCAGCACTCAGACAGGCATGGTCACACACGCAAGCCAACCAGCACTCAGACAGACATGCAGTCCAGCAAGCACACACACTCACAGACTTAGCAGGCGGGGAACTCAGTAGGGCATTCAGTCTATGAGCAAAACTCAGAAACCAGCTGTGTGTTTCAGTCCGTGTCCGGACGGGTTATCACACAATTCATGTTGTTTCAAGAACTCTGACAGCAGAGCCTCTTGAAAACTCGTGAGTTGTTGTAATTCCGAAACAACAGATTCTCCACGAAGTGGGCGATGTTCAGTATAGCCTTATTATCAGACACTTTCTTGCGATGTTGAGTATAGCCTTATTATCAGACACTTTCTTAGATCCCTTCCCCAATTCAAATCATTCATTCAATCATGGATTGGAAAGTTAGAGATTCAGAATTGTTTGAAGTTTTGGAATTTAATCCTTGTGTTAATTGACTCTTGTGGAAACTATAGTGCCCCCAAAGGAGGACATCACAGGTTACACGGCTGAGAGATAACAGTACCTCTGAAGGAGTAAATATAAAATTGTGCAAACTTGGAAGTACACATGAAATATCTCAAAGGAATGGAACAGATGGCAGAGACGGAAATCAGGAGCAGATGGCAGAGAATAGTGAATTCCCCGAGACACAGACCAGAAGGACAAGCAACCAAGAAACGTACATTCATAAGGAACTGGTTGCTAAAGGGCAAGGTGGCAACGATAGTTGACAACAGACTGAGATGGAAGAAATGGCACCAGACACAATCATGAAGCCTACGAGGGTACCTGCCGGGTGACCTGGCAGAAGGTTTTGTACGGTGATCAACAAAAGGAGGACCGGACACACAGGGAAGGACAAGGACAAACAACAGAACACAGAGCGGACCCCCCCACTGTTCTCGTAATACAGGGACTCATTCGACAGGACCTAAGTAGAAGCCTGAGAGGAACAGATGGTCAGGGCAAGCTGACAGTCAATCCTCCTTAGGAGTAATCAATGCTGGTCAGGGGTCCTTTGGCCAGGTGGAAAGAAGCGTTGAGTGAGTAATATGATGTAACCCGCCTCGACTTGCCGGAGGAATAGGAACCGGACTGACGCTCCCCAGAATGGATATGGAGCCAGAACCTTAAGGMCCTGTTCGGAAAAAAAAAAAAAAGGAATGGAACAAAAGAAAAAAGCTTGAAAAAAAGCAAAACAGGAAATAAGGCATAAGCCTCAACAAAGCAAAACAGGGAATGCATACGAGCAACATAATTGGACTTCAAGCCAGAACGATCTCCCCTTGCACAGCTGCTAAAACTTCCGCATTGAAACCAACGGTGGGCACATTTGTGAACTGGAAAATCTGGCTGGCTGCAATAGGAAAGGCTCAGACTTTGGTGCTGGGGGGAAGTAACTGAAACGATTGACTGCAAAACAGAGCCCGAACCAGAAAGCGATCAGGTCACATGTCCTTTTCTTAACTTTTGTTACGATCCTGGCCAGTTCCGAAGTGAAAATATACAAGGAAGTACAATGCCATCCGATTGCAAAACAAACGAATTCATTTGAGAGGAGAGAGAGGCGAAAGAAGAAGAAGAAGAAGATGTACACCAGCAAAAGATCAATGACATTTCCCCCCCTCTCTCACCAACCAACTCCTCATCATCTTCCCCTCTCTTAGTCAAACAATAAATAATAATAATAACGATGAATGGCTGAACCAGAATCAATGTCCGAATTTTTGTTCTACTGCCAGCACAATGTGAGGTCCACCATAGCCATGACCTCCATCTTCCTCCACCTCTGACAGGTCTGGGCTATGGCGGACTACTAAGGGGCCTTGCCCAATGTTCAAAAGACAACGCAAAAGCAGCTATGCCCTCCTCTCTTCAGGCCGCCATGCCTGACTCTGCCTCGAAGCCCTCTTGATGTGGCACTACCGCACAAGGGGCCTTCAAGATACTGCGCCTACGAAGGAGATGAAGATGACGCCTACCATAGCCAGGTAAGTACCCCTGGCGCTCTACTCCCTAGTCCCCTTCTTCCTCCTCCTCCTACCAGGCTCTGTCCACCATAGCTGAGGTGGAACCCCTGGCGCTCCTGCCACAAGCGCTGCACACTAGCGCTCTCCAACCAGGCGCTCCAGCAGCATGACGCCCAAACTTGCATGCAGCAAATGAGGAGGAGCAACTCGCTCCTCCTGGAGAGATGGCGGCCTACCAGCCTCTTGGGCGTTGACCTCCAGGCCACTCCGCCTCTCAAGCAACCGGTACCTCCTCCGTTTCGGAGGGAAACATCATTGCAGTGCTGATATCTACCTCTACAGGCCCTAGACCTACATTAGTGGACCTCTACCCCTAAAGGTACTCACATTTTGTCTTCTTCTGCTCGGCCTACGGCTACTCGAGTGCTAGCGGTACCGACACTACGCTACTTGAGTGTGCCCTAAGCTACCCCTTTGGCAACTTGAGTGTTTTTCCCCGCTGCAACCCGCAAAGTCACGGCCACAGGTAAGAACCAGCCCCGCAGACCTCCCAAACAAACCACAGCCCTGGCAGGCCACACACACACTCAGGCCAACAAGCACTCAGACAGGCATGCGGACCAGCAAGCACGGACACACACAGACTTAGAAACTCAGCAGAACGCGGGAATCTCAGCAAGGCATACATTCCAGCGGCAAAACTCAGAAATCAGCAGTGTTCTCAGTCCGTATTTTTGCAGGTCCTTACACTTTGGAAATTTTAATCATTTTCAACATTTTGCAAATTTGCAGAGAAACTGGGCCCCGCAAAACCAGCACTGACAATCTCACAAAAAACATGATAAAGAGTAAACTCAGTAGAGGAATCAAAATGTGTTCAATGCGTTGGCTTTTTAAAAGAATGAAAGAAAAGGGTGCTTGCTTCTGCAGGTGCCTTGAGAACGTTGATACTTACCAAGCTGATGACAGCTTGAATGATAATGGCTGACAAAACACACTGGAAACATACGGCCACAATCGGAGTTCACCGATAGTCAGATCGAATATTCTATGATTATTATCTTCTTTTCTTTTTCTTTTTCTTAAAAAAAACAAACAGGATCGGCAGCATTACCTGGCTTCGCTTTGTATAGTCATATAGCTGGGAATCAGGCCCAGCGTCCCTTACATCTTATGCCACGGCCGTTTGAGATGAACAAGGCACACCGGCCAATCTTAACTCTGGCCGCAGCTCACAAGTTGTTAACATAATATTATTTTATTTGTTTATTTGAAATTATTTCTAAAAAATATGTTGTTTGAACCCATACCAGTTCACCGAGAGTCAGGCAACGACATTCAGGTTCATCTCGTTGTACCAATGAAAAAAGAAAGAAAAGAAAAAGAAATCTACAATCAGTGTCTGTCACACAATTTTTCTCCAAACTTTTAGATCGTTAAGAAAAAGAAGGGAACCCATCTCACCTACTCAGCAGAACACAACAGAATTCGAAAATTCTTATCAAGGAAACTGGGAGGAATGAAGGACGAAATATGGTCCTCGGATAATGCATCAAGCACGAAAGGAACAGCCATCCTTATACCCAAATCTTCCCGCCTATATATGGCAGGGTTGATAGTGGGCAAAGAAGCGGACACGGTAGACGGTAGATGGTGCCTTATGGATGTAAAGTGGAAGGAGCAAGAGTTCAAAATAATCAAAGGATATCCACCAAACAGCTCTTCAGACAGATCTGCATTTATAATGAACATCGAACATCTGATCCCCGCTTTGTCGCCATGCATTTTGGCCGGTGATTGAAACGCAACTATAGACCCAACCACGGATCGTATATCGAGGTCCTCGGCTGGTCAGCTCATACAGGAGGCGGTGCCTGTCCAAAAGTTGATGTTGGACTACAGTCTAGTTGAACCTTACCGTACTTTGCATCCGGGGACAAGAGCCTTCACATTGGTTAAAAAGAACCATGCCCACCACACCGCTTTCTCCTTCATTGATTACTTCTTGATCTCAGGGACACTAATAGGGACAGCCAAAAGCGCTGAGATCCTGCCCCTCGCACCGTACCCAGGTCTGGATCACAAACCCATCGAACTCATAATCAGCTTCGAGCAGTATGTTAAAAAGGGGTCTAGCTTTCACAAACTCAACAACTCCCTCCTACTGAGCCAGACCTTTCAGGCAGGAGTGGCAAATTTTGAGGGGTGCCTACCTACCCATACAAGATCGGTGGCAGTGGTTTCAGGAAAGTTACTCTACATTGTCACAGACGGTTGCAAGAATTTCAAGGAAATTAGCAACCGACAGGAAACAGAGGAAGCAAGCGTTGGAGACAGCCCTCAAGATCGCAGAGACAAATCTGATTGATAACCCCTCTTCTGTATTGTACACGGATATCTTCGAAAAGGCAAGAGAAGAACTCACTATGTGGAGATGGTGGGAATTGAAGGGACTACAAATAAGAGTCAGAATGAACGAATACGAGCTAAGTGAATCAATGTCAAAACACTTCTTCGCAAGGATCAAAGCAAACTCAAGGGCTAACACGATAGAAAGCCTGAAAACCCTCTCAAGTCCAGCTGAAATAGTGACAGACAGTGAAGGAAAGTTGAATGTAGCGAAGGAATTCTATGAAGAGCTTTATCCAACAAAGACCCTTATGCCTACTCCGCCCAGCACCAGAGAGGCACAAACTAGGATGCTACAATACGTGGAACAAACGATATATCAGGAACAAGAAGAAGCTCTGGACAAGCCCATCACCTTGGAAGAACTGCAAGGTGTTGTTCAAAGTATGAACAACAATAAGCCACCAGGAATCGACGGGCTGACAAAAGAATTCAGGGAAAAATTCTGACCACTCTTAGGGGGCAATCTGCTAAACTTCTACAATGATAGCTAGCTTACGGGAGGACTAGGAAATCTACTGAGCAGCAGCGTAGTCACATTGTTGTACAAAAAAGGGGATATCAGGAACAAGCAGAAGCTCTGGACAAACCCATCACCTTGGAAGAACTGCAAGGTGTTGTCCAAAGTATGAACAACAATAAGCCACCAGGAATCGACGGGCTGACAAAAGAATTCAGGGAAAAATTATGACCACTCTTAGGGGGCAATCTGCTAAACTTCTACAATTATAGCTAGCTTAAGGGGGGACTAGGAAATCTACTGAGCAACAGCGTAGTCACATTGTTGTACAAAAAATGGGAGAAAGAAGATATCAACAACTATAGACCCATCTCACTTCTAACCCTTCCCCATAAGATCCTAGCCAAAGCTCTGGCCTTGCGAATCCTAGACCTAACAGACAAATGTTTTCATATAGACCAAACAGGCTTCATCCCTAAAAAGTACATCTTGGACAACGTACTGACCCTCAATGAAGCGGCCAACAAAGTTAGAGAAAAAAGGATAAACACAGCGACCAGGTCAACTGGGCCTTTCTTAATGCAAGCATGGAAAAAATGGGAGCGGGCCCGAATTTTAGGAAGTGGGTGTGTATTTTGTACAATGACGCCATAGGATGTGTCCAAGTCAATGGCTTGCTATCTCACTGCTACCCTATTTCTCGATCAATCCGCCAAGGAGACCCGCTAGCCCCCCCCAATCTTCCTCTTTGTGATGGAAGTGATACCCTCATTCCTACGTAGAGATCCTTCCATACACAAGCTGCCAGAGGTCAATGTAGGAACAGCCCATCACCTACAATTCCCAACAATAATAATGTTTGCAGATGACCTCACAGTCCTCATAAGAGCGCCAGACTCATCGTTCAGCGCATTACTAAGAGCAATGGAAGCTTTCAGACTGGCATCAGAAATGAAAATCAATTGGAAGAAAACAATCGGCTGGTGGCTATCGGATGAGGAGGTTCCCCAGCTACAAGGCCCCGAGGCACACATGACTTGAGAGACACTGGAGACCCCTACGCGATATCTAGGCATACTGCTGACTAAAGACGGCTTTGCCCCTCAAATGGCCCAAAATATACTCGTTAAAAAAATTAACAAACTAGGCAGATGGGGTAACACATTCACATCAGTGTTGGGCCGAGCACTTGCCATCAACACATCTATTTTTTCAATGATGTGGTATATAGCGTCAATCTGGACTGTTCTGGACCATACAATCAAGGAACTTCACCGCAAAGCAAGAGCTTACTTGTGGTTGGGAGACCCCAACAAAGAGAACTGTATACCAAAGATAGCCTGGCACTACATCACAAGGGAACCAGGCAGAGGAGGTCTTGGTATCATAGACCCCAAACAGGAAACCAAAGCCTTAAAAGTTAAATGGATAGTCAAACTTCTGACTAAACCTGGCACGGCATGGAATAAACTGGCCTTGGACAGCATCAGGGGCGATAGCCTCACCAGCAAACATGTCTGGTCTGTTCTGGGTAATGACCAAGGAATGGAGCCCAAGCACAGGGCACAGAAATCAGAGAAGAGGAGCCGGTCCAAATGAAACCCAGCCCCCCACAACGTATTGGACTACATTGCTAAGGATATGGTGGGAAGTCATGCCGAAGAAGGTGGGTAGACCCAAATCCCAAAATGAGATATTGAGGCAACCCCTGTTTGGTAATCCGTGGGTGAGAGACGTAAGTGATCACCAACTATCCCTTAAACCTAGAGGCAGGAGATGGCTATCGTTGATCAAACATGGAGTTTGGAAAGTGGGCCATCTGTGGAATGAGGAGAAAAAGGACTGGGTGACAGAACAAGAACTGGCCTCCCAGCTCAAAGGATGTCACCGATGAGACGAGAACTTACAATCCATCATTAACTGCATTCCAGAAGGTTGGAAGGAGCTGTTGAGCGAAACCTCAACCAGGAAATCGGGTGAATGGGGAGTGAGGGTGCAGGATTTAACCCCCTCAAAGGCATATCAATTCTCCCATAAACGACAAGGATCGGATACCCTGGCTGTGGTTACCTCTTTTCCAATTACCCCCTCCACGCAAGGCCTCCCATATATCCTGAATGAGGAGGTGGACAGAACAGTCCTAAACCCTTTTGTTCTCAGAAAAGTAAGAGTGTTGGGATCGTGGCCTTGCGTGTGTCCTAAACCCATCAGAATAGATACGGCGATTCAAGATCTGGAATTTGATCCATCAGAGTGGGCTTGGACTCCAGATAGAAGCAGAAGTTTCAAAACGAATGTCCCCATCCAGCAATACACAGTCAAACTGGGATACAACTTACTCCTCAAGACAAAGGATCCTGACCCAACGATCAAGAATAGATGGCAGAAGTTATTAGGCCAGGACGCTACTCTGATCCCACAAATACCACGGAAATTTTCAAATCAATCCGTCCGGTCAAAATCAGAAGCCTCCAATGGCTCATCTCTTATGTGGCTCTACCGGTTAATCAGTGGCTGCATTCCAGAAGAAGTAAGAACGATCCCAACAGTTCAGATCTATGTGCGGTATGCTCAGAAAATGAACCAGAAGATATGCTACATTGTCTGGTACGCTGTAGAGAGGCGACAGAATACTGGGCGAGGGCCTCGGATCTCTGGGATTCCCTCTTCTCGACCCCCCTCCCTGAGCACCCCATCCAACTTCTTCTATGGACTAACATCCCCGCCCAATTCCATAAGACAGAGAGAGCATGGTTTGGAATGATCAGAAAGGTAACGCTGTGGTCCATATGGAAGGAAAGGTGCTACAGAACCATCGAGGGACTCTCAACTCCAAGGGAGAAGGTATGGGCGGAGACGAGGACCTTGATCCAAGCTGAGATTCTCTGCAAGTGGCATAAGACGAGGCACTCCATGCCAGATGACGAAGAGCAACAGAGAAGAATCAAGGCAAAATTCACTAAGGTGTGGCTCGCAGGGGGCAAAGTCGCAGAGATGAAGGACCTTTGCATATGGTGGAAAGACTGGCACAACTCAGAAGCAGGGTGGAGAAGGCAGAGTTCCCAGCCAGCAGACAGACAAGATCCATCACTGGCCAAATAATATTGAAGGCCAATTTCCGTTTGTGCATCCTACGTAGCTTCTTT